TTTTCTTTATTTTCTTTCCCACTCTTGCTATTGATAGAAACTTACCCATTTTACAATCAGTTTGTTAGTCATCATGCCTGCTTAATTTTGGTGAACCTGCTGTTGACAATGCTGTTTGTGTGCCATGATCAACACCAACCTGTGGTTTCTCTAAATGAATTGGGCAGAAGAATCCCAATGGGAAGGGGGAAGAAGGATGTTCCCTTCACATGGATAGATTGCAAACAGATGGACAGCGGTGAATGAATACAAAGGAAATACAGGTGAAATGCAAAAAGCTGTGAAACAGGGTATCAGTGTTTACATTATTTGAATATGTGTGTGTATGTGTGTATCTTAATACCCACATGCAAGAACTGATTTCTAGGAGTAAACTGCCAGTCTGGAATGGAAATTGATTTTAAGACCCAAAGTGTGTGCTTGGTGCACACTGTAATTAGATTGTGATGGCAATTTCAGCACAGGGCTGAACTTTAACTAACCTTTCAAAAACTCATTCTTCCTTCAGGAGCTCATGGGGCTATTTATGATATCAGCAATGAACTCAGGGAACATCATAGGCTATGAGATGGGGAGGAAAGGAGAAGCTATCAGAAGATTAAATTCTGATGGCATTTTAAATGTAAACCCCCAAACTGTATTTGATGCTTCTCTAATTCTGCTGAAAGTCAGTGACTCCAAAAAGCTCCAGTCATTTTTGAAAATGTGATTTTATTTCCCAAGTACAGCAGAGGCTTATCAAAATTTTACCTTGGCCCTAGGAAAAGACTCAGGAGGTGCTAGACCCAGTAACACATTGCTCTCAACAGAACAATTTTCCCCACTGTCGGAACTGGCTATTGTGCTTTCTGTTATTAATGAGGGAGTTACTGTTCCCTTTAGGTGAGGTTTCCATGATATTTGCTGCTTGACACTTCAGAGACTCTTATTAAAGAGCTGATGTGATTCCCATGAAGATTTTATGAAGTCTTTGTTAAGTGGGTCACTACATGCCAGATAACATAAGCAATATCTGCACCACTTCTTGGGACCAGCAAGGAAAACAGGCTCAGTACAGTGCTGAGTTGTGTGTCGGCCACTGCTTGAAAGAAACGCCACACACAATTTTAAAATATTCACCTTTGTTCAACTAATATTACCAAAACAAAAAAGACTTGGAAGGGGGGGGGGGGG